TATGAAATGTAAGGTTAAACAATGTTGTTGACTGAGAGTGGAAAGAACCACTTCACAAAATTGGGAGTTAAAAATAATTTCATATCTTCCATAGCTTAATATTTTAAACTAAAATTTCAATAAGACCTTTTCCGTTTCTTAAAAAGATAAACTTTTTCTAAAAAATAAATTCTCAAAATTAGATAAGCATCTGAAAGCTGGATAAGCATCAAGAAAGCTGCAGCTGATCGATGGCTTAAAGGAATTTCCTCTATAAGCACTATTTAGTCACAATTGAGCGATTGTTTATAAGATGGCCTTTCGTCCTAAGTCGTGAAAAGTATGCCGGAGACATCAGCAATGGTTGGAAAAGTAGGCGTAGCATATTATGCATGAAACATATGGGGATGGACCGAACGGTCACACCCACTGTGTGTTTTTTGTCACGATCAGGAAATAACAGAAAAATCCGTCGTCAATTCAGTCTAACAATTACTATAAAATTAGTATGAAAAACTTCAGTAAGCATTTGACTCAATGATAAATTGTATATGCTGACATTGTATTGACCACAGACTACGACTACGAAACGACGATGGCTGATATTCTTGTGTCATCAACTTGTTTGTCAATAGGCGCGGTAGCGAAGTCTGATAACGACCACAAAATGGATTTTGGCGTCAAGATGTAGCAGCGTTCATACCTAACATATGGTGTAGCGGTATGTAAAACTGTTTTGAAGTTTGACCAACGTGCTTAAGCAATAACAAGGAGAGAAAAAAAACATGTCTAATGGTTTGTTTTGTTATTGGTTTATATTTCATCCAACACATAATTCAACCACAGTGAAATGAAATGCTCCAGACGACCATAATTATTTTGGAACGTTTACCTGCGTCGCATAAACTAAGGCATCCTGTATTTATACCCGGCACATAGAAATTTTACACTGGGTTAACAACACGCATTTTATAAGAATCTTAAGGAAAAAGGAGAGGCTGATTTTTGTAATGTTTTATATAATAAAAATCTCGAAGAGTCGTTTCCCGATCGTATCACATGCGAAAAACCCCTGACTGACGTGACATTAAATTGACGTAGCAATGTTGCCCCTGGTCGCTGGATATATGCATTTTAATAATTCCACGGGAACTTATCTAATTATACTGTGAAATAGAAAATTTGAGTAAGTGTTTCACTCTTTCCCTTTAAAATGTTGATGAATTTTCATGAATTTATCTCTGCCCTTTATGGGGTTAAAATAAATGTTTCAATAATTTTCGAACAGCCTTAAGCTTCGTACTAGGAAGTTAACTGAATTATTTATATTGAGTTTTGATTTTCGAATACTAACTATATTTTTCTGTTTGAAAATGTTTATAAACATTATGTTACATCTTTTACTTTTTTAGCACAAAAAAGCTTAATTACTAAAGCCCATTGAGCTCCTTTTCGTAGGTTAAATTATTTTTTTTTCGCGCTATAACGCAAAAGTTTCGAGAATAAACGCGTAACTTTCGCTTTAAAACGCAAAACGTTCGGACATAACGAGAATCTTTTGCGAAATAACTTTTCACAGTGTAACGTTTATATATATATATATATATATATATATATATATATATATATATATATATATATATATATATATATATATATATATATATATATATATATATATATATATATATATATATATATATATATTTTTCATGATGGATTGTTTAATTTATTAGTGGTACAATTATATATATATATATATATATATATATATATATATATATATGATAAAAAATGCTGTGAGAAAGTGTCAAGTGGAGATTTTCCGTCAATAAAATATTCAGTCTAAAGAAACTCTCGAATGTAACAACTGAAGAACATGTACAAGTAAAATTCAGTTTATCATTTGATAGGATTTTTGAAATAAAAAAAGATAAATAATCTATCCTATTCTCGAACCATTCTTGCATCATTTCTCCAGGACATCCTCTGAGGAAATGATAATTTATCAATAAATTCATAAAAGATCATGTCAGCGTTCATTTTCCTATCTGTCAGTGAAGGTCAGGGTTCCTGAAAAACATTAATATGCCAATAATTTCGCAGAATAACGCGAAAATTACGCGTTATAACGCGAAAGAACTATATGCGGTATATTGCATAATTTGCCCCCACAAAAATCAAATTTTGAAAACTTCCTGAAATGTTCTGAGTTCAATAAATTGTATGAGAAATATAAATTAACAGAAAATATTATTGTGTCAAAGCACTGTATTCACAATTTTTGTTTTTATGATGTCACAAACTAGTTCGATTTTACATCCCTTTTCAGAAAGAGGACAAAATGGACAAAATTTCAACAATTTTAGCTTCAAAATTTATAGAGCGCAAGTTTGTTCAGGAACAATATTGACATATTTCATTGATATTATCATTCTACAAATTATATCAAAATATTGATCCTGAACACACATGCGCTCGGTGACTTTTACTCAAAATATCGACGAAATATGTACATTTGTCTGTAAATCAATAAAAACTGAAATTTACGTCATGTTTGTGACGTCATTACGTACATATGTCGTCATTACCTATGAAAATATTCAGTGCTTTGAAGTCAGCATATACTCCCCGGTTTAAGAACCTTATTAAATATATCTCCTTCAAAGTTTGCTTTGGGGGGCAAATATTGGTTATTACCGAATAAATTTCTTTACGCATTTATATGCGAGATACGCGTTTATTCGAAAAATGTAAGCGTTTTAACGCAAATACTTCGCGTTATTATGCAAAATTTACACGTCATAACGCGAAAATTTTATTTTTTAAACTTCGAAAATGAGCCCATAATGGGCGTTCGTACTTGATATATCTGCCTCTATAAAAGAAAAGATATCCCATTAAATTATCCTACTTTATTGAAAAACACAAAATTACAGTCATCTTATTTTGTTGAAAGCAAATTTTCACAACCGTTCATTTAATTTCAACAGAATTTTCGCATAAATGCTAATAAAAGTTTTTAATATTGAATGGAAATCTATCAGGTTACAATACTTAAAATCATCTTTTCAATTTAAACAGTCCTAGTGTACTTATGATTCAGTGGTCCCTTTAAATTCAAATTGTACACGCTATTTAAATCCGTTTCAGATCATATCGAGCGACTTCACCGACTTTATTTAAAATGAATATTCGTAGAGATTGAAATGCTCAGGGTGTAATATGTCAAATGATACACAACTACATTCAGTGGGTTTTACGTGAATATGAATTAGTTCAGTGACTAAAAAGTTGATTTGGTATCCAAGTACTCCATATCCTTCTTCTAATTGATTGCATGATAATTGAAATAAGCAATTTAGCTTATGAATGAAAAGTTTGAAACTGCACCGAGAAACAATTAAAGCTTATCACAAAAATAGAACCTGTAAAATTTTATACAATGAAAAGTGTTTATTTTGATTGTTCATTAAAGCATTAAATTAACCTAAAAATGAATACTCAATGAAATATATTTACCCTCGCAAAATCCATGTCATTGTTTATGATGCAGTTATGCAACGTGCATTATCTACGTATCTAAACCCTTTGTTAGGAATATGAAATAAACTTTAGATTAATTAAAATGTTAACTAAATTTTAAATCCAAATCCGTTACTATACAAAAAATAAGAAAACGTATTAATGTATACACTTTTTTTACAACAAGAACATTACATGTATGTATTTTTAAAAATGTCATATACTCCCCATCTTCCCCCACCCCAAACCCCCATCCGAAAAAAGCAAGCATCAAATAGTCATCCACGAATGTACATGTATAACATGTAATTAAATCTGTAAAGATTTTCGCCTCTTACACAGGAAATGGAAGTTTATATAAATATTACGATTTGTTTATATGATTAGAATTCTTTTGTATAAGGAGAATATCTCATATCTATATTAAATTACAGTCCATGTGGCCTCCTGGAACATTAATGTACGTATGTTCGTATGTAGGACAACCAGTGAACCTCTGTTTATTTTTATAAAAAATAAATTAATCAAATGCATAAATGGATAGAAAGATTAGAATAAATTAATCGATAAACTTTTTAAAAAACAAATAAACAGAAAAAATGTATATAAATCAACTAATTCATAAAAGCAAAACAGGAATAATATTTTTTTGAAAAATTTTCTCAGCTGACAATTATGATTTTCTCCTTTTTTCATTCTTTTTCCAATATGCAAATTCCATCGATCTTCTAGATGCTTCTAACATGATATCAAGGGTTTTCCCATAGTAGGTGTGATCATTGTGGAAAATAATTATAGCTGTTGTATGCAGAAATGAGGTTCGTGGAATTGTGTACAATGACAAAGATCAATTCATTTAAAATTCTAGCCTTCGCTTCCTTGACGACAAAACACTCCTTTTATAAACTCTAAATCTCTTCGCCCCGTTTGCTGTTCATCCTCGGTGGTTTCGCTCTATGGGGTTTTCTTCAAACATATTTATTATGATGTTATGGAGATAATTATTTTTAAAGTGGGTGTTTACATCCACTTTTTAAATGAGAATTTTATTTAATTCAATTATAGGTAGCGATCATGAAATAAATAAATACCACATTAAAAATTTCCATGTTAGAAAAAGAAATCATAAGGATGGAAGCAAAAATCACTGAAATACCTTAAGATAATAAATGTTTAGAAATAAAATGAATGACATAAACAAATAGGGTCTCAATCGTTTACTGAAATTAATCTTACAGTATATTGTATCATTGAAGAGGATTATTTAAATTTGGAAAGATAGAAAAAATATTTCCCATCGCATATACACAAAAAACACTACTCCACGGGATAAACCATTTGTCATATACAACAATCTACTTATACTACACGTGCAAAAACATAATATACCTTTAATAACCTATCATATTAAAGATAGAAAGGAAACAACTCGAGGGGAAACCGCTCGGTCAGCAAACACGTAATTGTAATTAGTGTCAAATCACCCGTTACTTCTGAGAATCTTCAAAACGGAAATTCCTTAACAGTTTCGTTTTAGACAGTCAACCTTGTTGAATAAAATTCTCAAGTGCGGCAAAAATATACATGTTACTCCAGTGAGAAACCAGGGATAAATCACATTGGAATAGAACTTCAATACTTTGGATAGGAGTTTGAGATTTTACTGTCGGTATGGACAGCCTCAAAGTAAGTTTAGATTTAAAACTAGTGATTCAAAAGGCCAATGCCTCTTACTCAACGTCGGTTAACAGTAAGTTTTTCAACTGATTTTTCAAGTTGCACATAGAGTAAAAACATTTCATTGAGAGAAAGAGATAAAAACTTATGCATACCTTTAATTAACTCATTAAAAATTCAACATGTACGAGGTAGTGTATTGAGGACAGGAAACTCAAGTGTGACCAACAAAGTGCCGATTTATGGGTTATCGAGTATTGGAATGACATATAGGCTGCTCCAGCATTGTCATTGTTATGTATAATACACAAAAGGGTTACATATATTGTTTTGTACATAAAAGTGTTGACAAAAAGAAGGAGAATGTCTTCATTCTACCTGAAATAACTGGTTCAAATGAATGGGGAGCAGACTATATTCAATATGTTTATTTCTCTTTGACAAATGGTATGAAAAAGAAAATTTAAAGTCGTGTTTTTTTTTTTTTTTTTTTTTTTTTTGCCTGTGCATTTTTTCTGATGTCTTTAAAAATAAATATATTTATATGCAAGTAAATGCAACAATCGATTATCTTATTTGTTACTAAGCATGAAGAACGAGCGAGTATGAAACTTTTATCGGGTTAGGATTGGTAAGGGGGTAGATTCTACTCTTTATTTTAATTAATAATTTTACTTAAATGTAATTAAACAGTGTCCGCACTATTGATAAATAACTTTAAAATAAAGCAAAAGCCTATTGATAAAAGAAATAAAAATGTTTAAATCATTTGTTGATAAAATGTAGAGCTTAATTTTTATAAACACTGCATTCTACTGACAGCAAAGAAACACTTGGAAACGCTAAAAACTGACTTGCATATAAACAAATAAATATCTTGGACCTGCTCTAATGAAAAATATTGAGATAAGGAAAAGTATTCAAGATCACAAGTCCATAAAACAATACAAAGCAGGAGCAGAGCAAACATGGACATACAAATCATCAGGCCCAAGTGTCCTGAAACAAACTGAAACAGACTCAGACTTAATTCAAATTTTCACTTGCCTATAAATGTTAATGAATTATGGAATTTATTTCAAAATTTGCAGATAACACCACTTCTGAGAAGCAATGTTGAAAAACATTTTCATATGTGTGTGTGTGTGGGGGAGGGGGGGTGTCAGAGTGGGTGTGTGGGGGGAGGGTAACCATGTTTTTGTGTATGTAAGCAAAAACAATTTATTATATTTAAATTTTTTCTGATATCAATAAAATCTTAAAAGAGTCGATCCTCCTTGTTAATTATTAATGTATTGTTAATCTTAAAATTTTGCTATGTTCATTTGTTACCCTAAGTGCACTACATCTATTACTTTATTGCGGTTTCGTCTTGTTAATTTTTTAGGGTTAAACTGACAGTAATGTTTTTTTCTTAATTCTAGTATCCCCTTAATTTTAATCTGCTTAATGATTTGGGTTTTGTTCTTGCCGATTTTGTACTCTTAGGCTGACCTAATAAAACTATCTACTTGTTTTTTTAAGAAAACATTCCACGATGCAAAGGACAAGGCAGAAGACCTTCAGGGAAAATGCAAGGAGAAGGGAAAGGTCTTTGCAAGCGAATTACAGGAAAAAATTGTAGGCAGCCAGGTGGCAAATAAGGATGTGTCCATTAGGAAAATTATGGACAAAATGAAGGTGAGTTTTGTGATAATTTTATTCTGAAAAATAGAAAAAACAAAGTTTAATGTTCACTATATCACTTAAAAGGGAAAGTGGATCTGCGATAAAAGGTTTCTGTTGTACATCTTGACTACCCGGTCTCTTTGGATTTTACAAGCCCATTTGGCCTTTATTTTGGTACTGTCTTGCCTTTTTTTCTGCCCAGCATTTAGACGTTTGAAACTTCTTTTTACAATAGTTAAAAATTGGAACCTACTTGACTTTACTATCTTAGTCCTTGAATTTTCCTTTCATTTCAATTAGAATGAGTTGTCTTTGTGTGTCCGATCTCCTCGATCAAGAAACATCAGGGAGGGGGGTCATCATCTGGTCTCTGCTTGGTTTTTCAATTGAAACATTCTGAGTTAGCGGAGAGTCATCAGTGGCAATTACAACGTTTGAATACTTTTGTAACAGGGGTGGTTTATGGAAGAACAAATAACTGAGGGTTCTGACAAGACTGTATTTACCAGATGAAGAAATGGAAATAATGGAAATAACCCACCAATATTAACAAAATAACAAGTGTAAATATTTAAGTATAAAAGTACAATGATTGACATTATTCATTGACAAGGGAAATAATTCATTAATTAAAGTGTGTATATATTCGAGGAGTGATCAAATAGTTTGCGAAGATTTAATTATTTAAAATATAAGATATCGTTTACTTTAGATTTTAAACATATAATGAATGACATTTGTAATACATGAACATAATACATGTATACAACGAAAAATTAATAAAATATACCACACTTTCAAATATTTATTTTAATTCAATCTTTTAAAACTTAGAAACCAAAATTGCACAAGTTCTCCAGCGTATTTATTTTCTTACAAATTCAACATGAGTCCTTTCATCAAATTTCTTGTAAATTTTTTTCTTAGTCTTCAAGTACAAGAACATAAAATTTTATCGTTTTTCCCTTATTGATACCACAATTTTTACTCTTTCTTGTTTGATTGTTTATCACATAGTGCCCCTCTCGCGAATGTTTCACTTATATGGAGAAGCCACCACTTGCAGATGCGGAGTACTTTTTACATCGGCTTTTATTTATATATTTATTTTTATTTATATTTTTTTTTTAATCTTACGGCTTACAATTTGTTTCAATTTAGCCAACCTTTCTCTATCTTTAAAACTTTTAAAACGAACTTATCAGCAAGTTAAAAAGCTCCATCTCATTATATAGATGACGTGTGAAACGGCTGATTTTATTTAGTTGCTATTATATTTCCAAGTTTTACATTATTTTGACATTTATGATTGTGAACATTTACTTTCAGGATCGTCTACATAAAGAAAATCCAAGAAAAGGTAAGGATTTTTTTCTTGAGCTTGTAGTAAGGATTTTTTTCTTGAGCTTGTAGTAAAGATTTTTTTTTCTACTTTTGCAAAAAGAATCTAAACTGATTTTGTTATCTCCTATCAAAAATATGTTACATTTATTGTCAATGTTAACTTTAAAAAGACGTTAGAAATTATAAATTAAGCGTTTTTGTTTTTTTAATCAAGGTTATTAGATATGATTTGCATGTTAAATTAAAATTTCATCGATAATACAACGTACAATTTCAACATTGCATATACATCAAAGATTGACTACTATTCAATTGGTTTATGGTTGAAATATTGTTGCAAATGATATTTGCTGGGAAGTTAGAAATTTAATTTCAAGTTCTACGTGTCTCTTTGTTAAACTTTGGGATTTATTTGAGAAAATTTGTTTCTAAGGAAGCTCATTTACATCGTATAAAACAGGATAGTGTGGAACGCATTTAACCGAACATGCATACATGCGAAAATTCAAAAAAAAAATCGCCCTAAGCAGGGCGTGAATCCACGACCCTCAGGGTAGGTGGCAAACGCCTTAACCATAGGGCTATCACCGTGTATGACTCCATGTGAAAATATTAAACCCTTATTTTTAAAAAAAAATTGTTTGGACCTGTAACACTTTTTTTTTCTTCTCCGTTACCAAATTCTTGAATTCATTTATTAATCAAAAGATAAATAAATTTATTTATGGATCTTTTTAAAAGGCTTTTATATACCATTAATATTTCTAAACCGTTCAGTTCGGCATTTAAATTGATGTAATAAATGTTTCGCTCTTTTATTCGAAGATTTATGCATTGAATCATGATTGAAACTAAATTAAGGAGGCTGGGGGTCAACAAATAAATCACAAACTAGCCACCGGATTTTACTTAGTTTTTTAAATATGGTATCTTAAGCTGTCAAATATCATTTTGCAAGGAAAATTTTTAAAAATTTTAGTTTTGAAATTTGATCATTTTCTATATCTTTATATGGAGCTCTTCTTTCAAAGGGATCGAAATAATCTGAAAATGGCTGCCACCCCCAGCCTCTTTAATTATAGATAAAACACAAAAATCTATTATTGAAAAAGAAAGATAAAAAAAATACCAGATTCTACTATTTTTAAATATGCTGCGGCTATTTACGGTTTCTGTGTTTAAAATTTAGTGACAATCCTTGCATACGGTAAGAGTTACATGAGTTACCTGGTTACGTTTACAAAAACTTATCTTAGAATACCTTATTCAGTTAAATTTTTTTTTGTATCATAATGGGTATCAAAATAATTGCCTTTTTACAAGGAATCATAATTTTTTTAATTTGTTACATGCTTCCGTTAAATTTAAGTTTTGTAAAAATAATTTATCATCAAAATCTGTCAGTGTACGTTGTGTATGTATAATAGGAAGCAAAATCTGTCAGTGTACATGTACGTTGTGTATGTATACCTTCCTGTTAGTTAACCGGGGACTGGTGGACACCTAATTTAGGTCATACGCAATGTAGTTTGAACTTTATTGGGTTCTTCCCTGGAGTTGAAGAGTTCCACTAAATGAAGGACCCGTGTGCAATACTTTTAATGTCTACATATGGATTTGTACACCTCTTCTAAAATAATTTTTGATGAAAAAAAAGTTTTGAATTTATGTTTTGTAATTTTTGTGCATTTTTCTTTGAATAATGCAAAAATCTTTACAATTTGATATCTTTTCAAAACCCCTGGTAACGCATGCTGATTTTTTGTCTAAGATCATGTAATGGTATTGTGAGTTTGAATTTAGAATATCTTGAAAAATTACCAGTAGGTAAGGTACGTTGCGTATGTCCTTAAGGTCTATTGTCTGACCAGTCGATATACTGTACACTGTGGCTATTATAACTAACTCTGTTCTTAGTGACCGAGTTTATGGATGTTGACAAGAATGCTATATTGAAATGACGATCGAACAAAATTATGAATTGAAATTTTTGCGTAAATGATATTGAAATTTAACTTAACAAGTTAGTTCAAAGATTTGATATAAGATGCGTAAATTTAAAGTGTTTTTATGAGGTTTGATCAATAAGTCACCACTCAGCTCAGCATAAAGGTGGCTTAATGGTAGCTTAATGAAGTTTGGACATTAAGCGCCTATAAGTTACAGCTTAATGGTGGCTTAAAGGAATTAACTTCATTAAGCACCATTAAGTCACCATTTAGCTACCATTAAGCGATTGATTAAAAAGTGGGCTTTCGTCCTGTGATATCTGGAAGGCATTAAGATACATTCCTTGAAAAATCAATTGAAAAAAAACGATTGGAAAAAATCGCTATCTGAAGGTTAACGCTGAAACTACAATGGCAAACGGGCTCAAACTTGACTGCCTGAAACGTGTACCTAGATCATGCCTATATTAATGATAAAGTCACAAAAAATTAAGTAAATTAGAACAATATTTAAGCAAGAAATTGGCGTTCATCGAATTTAACAAAATTGAGACATACATTCCATTTTCTGGAAACTATTTTTTCGCTTAAATTGACCCCCCCCCCCCTCTATACTCATATATGAATTCAATTCCCCTTGTTTGTTCGAATGAACGCCGTCGTGAACAAATTTCAGGCCACACTCCCCTTCACGGGAAGAACCGAAATAATTCTCGTGTTCCCGAAATACACAATAACCCAGTGATGGCAATGCACTCTCAGTATTGCATTTATTCTGTCTGCTACATTGTACCCAAAACTAACTTTAAGGTATCAGATCCATATAAGCCTCAGATTCAATGGATTTGAATGCATAATAGATACATATGGGCTGAATATTCAGTGTAGTTAGAACTAATTTTCATTTTTTAGTATAAGAATGTAAGAGTGGGACATGTCCTAACTTATTACCTTTTCCTGCCCTTGAAGAGTTATCTTCCTTTGATTTTACTCAATAAAAATTAATTTCAAAAAAGTCTGTCTGGTTAAAAAAAAAATATTTTTAATTGTTTTTCTATTCCCAATGATCAAATACATCTTTCCACCACAGCATTTTTTGATATTGGAAGTATTCATTTTTTTATCTTAAAAAGCTAACTTCTTTCCACAGACTTCAATCTTCAATAATTAATTTCTGCTTAGGTAATAACATTTTAGAAAATTTCTCTTGGTAAATCCCTTTCTACTCTAAAGTGCTTTACAGCAATATCAGGATATTTTACAAACAATTGCTATTTAAGGTTAGAATTTTGGTCCTAATATGGGTCGGATACCTTAAATCTTAGCAATGATAGCAAACAATTATTTTTGCACCTGTATAGCGGCCATGCATTACCGTTGCCACAGTTTAATTTCTGAAGCTAATAATTTAGGATCTGTACTTTGAATAATATCATTCTGTCGAATCATTAAAACGACTAATCGGCACCTAAAGCAGATACAATCACCATATCCCTCGATATAATATTTAAAGTTAAGTGCATTACTGCCTTACTTTTTTGGTACTTATCCTTTTAATAAAAACACCTGAAGGTGCTTTGGTTGCAACTGCCTTTTTCAATATTCCAGCATCATCTTGGGTCGGTAAAAATTTTCCAGCTTGTTATTGTGTATTATAAATTTGATACATTTGGTATATTCGCCACAATAAAATTTATTTAATACATTCCTGATGTTTTTATATGAACTTATCTGAGATAATAAATCACAAACCTTCCTTCCACCCACAAACCTGAACAAAACGGAATGTGTTTTCCAAGACCATGGTTTGCAAAATATCACTGAATTTAGTGCAAATTTAAATACTTTTGCCAAGATAATTGATTCATTTTGTAATTGAGCTTGATATTGATAAAAAAGCCTTCTGTGTTTATTTTTCGGTTTGATTTGGTGTTCCTTCACGAATATTAGTACCCAGCGCAATTCTTGCGCCACTGTTATAATTGGAATGACGGAGAACCCTGGTTGTATTATAATTATTATGTGCAGGAACTATATATTTTTTTTTTGAAATTCCATTAGATTAGGGTGACAATTATTACCGTAAATCTCGAAATTTTTACTGTAGATAAATTTTTAGCAAATTGCATTGCATTCGCAAAAATATTTTTCTTACAAATAAATCAACATGTGAAGATTTTTTTTTCTGAGAGCTGGTGTCTTTTTTTTAACTCAGAGAATAGGCGTCGGTAACCACTGGTCATTTTTAAAAGAAACCTGTTTATACTACTATAAATACAAGTTAATTACCCGTGACTGTAAATTGCCCTCATTATATGCAATATCGTCCGATGGTTTGACAAGCACTGATGCGATATGCCCCTTTTTTAAGTATTTTGCCAATAAAGAGAGAACTGTTATTTTATCTTTAGAACCGTGTATCAACGCGGGCGATAGCTCGATAACTAACATTTACTAGAGAGTTCCAAATGTAAATACGGTATGTAAATTTAAGTAGGTGAGAAACCAAACGTTGAGAAAATTAGTTATATTTTTTGCTTCATTTGGATTATATTTTAGGTTAAAAGGCATACACAAACTCTAAAATGTTTGTTATAATCAATAAAGAAGTTATTTTCAGTACAAATCCTTTTACATGTATTTTATAAAAATTGTTTTGGAGCGATTTCTTGCCACGTTACGAGTAAATTGATGGTATTCTAACTGCAAACAAATTTGAAACAATACCTGGTTTGAAAATCTTCAGTGATTTTTATTTTAAGCGCCAGTGACAATTCGCAAAAATTTGAAGCGTAAAAATTAATCAACAGCTTTTTGACCAAAATTCGCAAAAATAAATCGACGTAAAAATTTCCAGATTTTCGGTATTATTTTGTAACATTCATAAAAAATCCCAATCGATTAGGGTGACAATTATTATTTTGTTACATTCATAAAAAGGGCGGGGGGAAAATTTGGTATGCATACACCACAGATTAAGCTCTTTTAAATGAGACCATAGTCAATGACTTTGAGACCTTTGCTAAATACTAGTATGGCTATTTTGTCGGCAAACTTTAACCTTCGCCATAGGTTTTGAATGTTGAAAGATAGAGATTTTATAATAGGAATGCATGCTCCAATAATTAAGTCCTTTCACATGATACAAAGATCAATGACTTTGTGACCTTGCCTGTGTCCTATATGCTAAAAATAGCTTTGTTGAACCTTCACCATAACTTTTGAACTATGAGAGATGGAGGCTTCATATTTGGTATGCATTCTTCACCAATCACTTCTTTCAAATGACACCAAGATCTTGTGACCTTGATTGTGACCTATATGCTAAAAACATTTTTTTTTTAATTTTGTTGCTACAGGGCGCATATTGTTTTACAAACACATCTTGTTTTATTACCTTTTTATATAAAAAAGACTGAAAATGTGAATTTAAATGAAAATGATTTTTCCGCAGTTTCAACTGGTCAAGATTTCCGACAACTCTTGGATAATTCTAATCCACATGTGCATACCGAGATCTTAGGGAAATATGGAATGGGAAAACGGGTAGGCCGCATACAATTTACTGGAAGTGATGCAGTTAGAGCAGTTGGAACAGGATTTATAGTTGGCAGCAAGTACGTCATGACAGCCTACCATGTCATGAAGGACAATCTGAGTAAGTTATGCAGATACGTGTTTGTGTATATTAATAATATTTATCTTGTTCTTAAAGAAATAATATGGAAACACTTCAGAATCAGAAAAGGCTCATATGAATAAACCTATCCAATTAGAGTCATACTTTCCTTTAAATAAATCTGTTGGATGAGTTTCTTGTATGAATATTGAATGTATGTATAAAATTTTCTAAACAAAGATAAAATAGTCCTTTTTCAAACAAATTCAAACCTTTGACATTGAAAGATATTATGTATCAATTACACTTGAGGTAGCCTTGCCATTATATTTAATTTTTTCTCCATATGTTCTGTAACAGAAGTTTATTTATGTTTTCCAGTGTAATTTAACTGTAATTTTTAAAGTTTACTGAAGTTAGATTTTTGCACATATCTATAACCTGATGTAGACCATATCACATCCATATGAGAGTAACTCAAACATGAAGTTTGATGGATGAAGAACAAAAGTCAGAAAGTACAATATACGGCCTGTGAATTTCTTAAAAAATAAATCATCGTTTTCTTGAAAACTATTTGTGGTTTCCGTATCTACTCGACTTCGTCAATGCAGGGATGGGTAGTTTTAGTCAAACCGGATGTTGGCTTCTTTATCGTAACGGCTAAAACCTATAAGGGTTTTGACTCTTCCGGAATTTTTCACCGATTTTACAGATTCACTTTAAAATTTCAAGTGGGGCGCATTCCTCTCGGAAAAAAATTCAAGTATAAAATCAAACATTGGTATCTTACGTGTATTTTTCAACAAGTTTTTTTCTCCGAGAGGAATGCGCCCCATGAGTAAATTTAATATTTACGAATTTCGTTTGCTCAGCTGCGCATGCAGAAAGCAAATTTACCTTTATATAATTCGATGTTAATAAAACTCTGCATGGCAAGTATTAGATCTTTCATAAGATAAGTTACTGTTAATTATATAAACACAACCATAAATCCTTTTTTTAGCATAAATGCATTATTTATGCGTGGTAATTAGGGTAGGCTAAACAGATTCTAATATAGCCTAGTTCTCAGTTCAATTAAAAACAATAAAATGTAGAAATGTTTTCGCGTTAGTCTATGCTCTCCACATCTGCATGTCTACTGTGGACCACTGTTAAACAGAAGTCCTCCAAAGTGGCAAGGTTATAACTACAGACACGTGCAAAAAGTATTCGGTCAAAATGGCGGTGTGTTTACACTGACAACGGTAGTATGAAAAAATCTACAAGCTGAATTTTCAACGAAAATGCTCTGAAAATTAAAATAATCAATTACTTACGATTTAATACTTCGTAAGGTGTCCTTTAAGTCTGATTACATTTAGAATCCGATTTGGAATGGAGCCATACAAGCTTTTAATGTAAGCAGGCGTGATACTTGTCCATATGCGCCGAATTTCCTCGATCAAATTGTCTTTCGATTTTATTGCAGCAGTGCGTGACTGAAGTTTTCTTTTTATGTGTAACCAAACATTCTCTATTATATTCAAGTCTGGTGACTGAACAGGCCAACTTAAACAGTTAATTCGATTTCTAGCTACATACTCTTGAGTTGACCTGGCTCGGTGGACGGGTGCGTTGTCATCCTGAAAATAATAACCATTTTGAGGGAAATGTCTTGCGAGAACAGGCCATAGGTTTTCCTCTAATATATCTTGGTATTTAGCAGCATTTATATTTCCTTCTACTGGCGTCATAGTTCCAACACCCTCCCTGCAAATGCACCCCCATATCATAACTTCGTATTTCGCTTGAGAAGTCCTCTGCTGAACAAGGTCCGGCCTCCATCCTTCGTCCTTTTTTCTCCAAATTCTTATCCTTTCATCATGACCCATTATTATTTTACTCTCATCTGAAAAAATCACACGCTTCCTGTCCTCTACTGACCATCGTCTTTTCCCCCGACACCAAGCAAGCCGCTTCTTACGATTCACTTCTTTAATAACCAGTTTCTTCTTAGAAACACTTCTCCGGTAGTTATGTTTGTGCAAATTATGCTGTACTGTCCTTTTACTAACTGGTTCTGGTCTTTCCTCGTTAAATTTTGCCGTTATATCAGAAAGTGAACATCTACGATTTGTTTTCACAATCCTCTCTAACTTCCGATAGTCACGGGGCCCGATTTTTGGAGGTCGGCCGCTTCTGGGTTTGTTTTCAATAGATCCCGTGTCACAAAATTTTCTACAAACGTCTATAACTGTTGATTTAGGTAACTGTAACATTTCACTTATCTTTCTCCGAGAATAACCTTTCTGCATTAACTCCACGATGATGTTTTTCACATCTGACCCCATTTCTTTTCCTTTCCGACCCATCTTTCTTACTCTTGCTATAATTGCTCTAAATTTGTAAACAGCAGACGAAAATATTGTCACGTGATTTATCATGTGACTAATTTTTCTAAATTTATACAAATCTACTTCCTGTGATGTGATATCAAGAGGGCAAGGTCATTTTCTTTTTTTAATACCATGGTAAGTGTAAACACGCCGCCATTTTTGACCGAATAATTTTTGCACGTGACTGTATTTATAAGGTCTATTTGCTTTTTTTCTCTCCCATCATTTGACAAGTCGTCAGTATTTTCTCGTGACGTCACAATGTACAGAAAATGACGTCAAAGTTTTTTGGGAACTTTTATATTTTTCGTACTCGTGGTGATTATAGATCTAGATCAATAACTTTAAATGTTCAAAAAATATCAATTTTTGAAAATTTTAAAGAAATAACATTATTACTATTTAAAGTTTACTTAGTACATAGGCTTCAATATGTATTCTGTGTGTCACATAATCATTATCGCGCATGGGGTAGATCGCGAGTGATTAACTTGTAAATTTCTACAGGTCAGGATGTTTATGTTTACTCAGTATCTTTTCATGGTTATATTTTGCTCAGACATTGATATTTTTCATTTAGTCATGTTCCAGAGAGCGCGCGAGAGAGTGAGAGAGAGGTCCACTAATATTTCAATAATTTGTAGATTATGCTTTTTAAAAATTAATTTTATTAAATGACTAAATATATTCATAAAATCGTGATTTTCAAATATGTCAGCCCAAGTCTGCATGTGGCCTCCATGTGTATGCTCTAAGGTTGGGGATGTCTATAAGAATCCTGTTAAAAAGGCAATATAGGTTATAAATGAACACTGTAATATTTAGCCGGCCTTTATATATAAATAAAAATTTATCAATTTATTATCAGAATAATCTCAAAAAGGAGGAAACATTTCTGTTCTGTGTTTGATGTATGAATAAATTTGATATATATATATATATATATATATATATATATATATATATATATATATATATATATATATATATATATATATATATATATATATATATATATATATATATTATAAAAAGAGTGGTAAAAATTAGTTTCCGACATGGCTCATCATAAGGTCCAAGAAGTCTTTCAGGGCAGTCCGTCCCTAAATAAATAAATGATGTTTCGATAGATTGGATGTAAGGAATAATTCAAGATCAGGCACGTAGTATCGATTTTGAAAGTGGGGGGAGGGGGCAGCCACAGAATTTTTTTTAACTTCCTTAAAAAACTTAACAAGCAAAAAAAAAAAAAAAAATTAAGGATAATTGCCCAAAGTCGAAAATCCTAACGTTTTCAACTACCAAATCCTTTTCAATATCCATTTTTTTAAGCTTACAATACCATATATCATCCCTCATATTACTTTACTTTAGTATAAAGTGTGGGGGCGACCAACCTTTCAGTGAACATTTTCAATAGTTCAAGTACCGTTGCCCCCCCCCCCCCCCCGTTGCTACGTCCCTAATTATAAAAAATAGATTAGGGGCACCCTGCCATAGGGTTGAATTCACAAACACACACACCCTCACATACACAAAATAAGGAAACCATTTAATTATGTGTTATTAGTTTAGTAAATATTGTTTTTAAAAAATCTAAAAGGTGGGGTGGGGGTGCGCACACCAGAGGCACCTGCACTGGATCTGCCTCTGATTTAGCGGCGTTCTTGCATTAGAAGTTTGCTGATATGCTGCTCTCAGAAGTATTCGTTCAACGAAGTATAGGTATTGCTCAAAAATACACAAGTGTCGAAAATAGTTGAAAATGTTGAAAAGCAGAAATTAAGATGAAAGGGAAAATTGAAACTTCAACCATGTCTAGTGATTGTCAACAAACACGCTGTACAGATTATTGAAAATTAATAAATCAATTTATTACTTTGCAAAGCCAATTGATGATCGTGATAACATGAGAATGATTACTCTTGAGAAAAAGAATATCTTCAAAAGTCCGTGCGTAAAATATCACGTGGTACCCTCTTCAGAGGTGTTCTTCGTTGAAGAATGTGTATGGAATACCGGTACTGTCTTTAGTGTCTTACTTATGAGGAATAAACATAATACGCAGTGTTTTCTACGCATGTGCACCTAAAACTTGGCAGGTAAAAAATATGTATTTATTTATTTTAAGTCATGTTCGGAGGAATTGTAAGTTTCTGCCATTTAGATTTTTACCCCCCCCCCCCCTTTCCTCACCAACGCACACATTAATTCTGGGTCTGTAGATCTATTAAATTGTGTGCAGATTATAGCTCATTCATTTGTTTATGAAATTCCCACCTTTCTGATTTGTAAATATTAAAATATTTTAACTGCTAGACTGAAAAATATTTCGCGTATCCTTTATATTTCCAAAAAAAAACAGTGTCATTATTCACCCCATGCAGACAGACATTCTTATAGATGCAGTGAATCAATCGAATTTCCTTTTTATTCACTGTATAGCGTAATAACATGTTACCATTCTTCGCAATTTTTCTATCTTTATATAAAATTTAGAAGAAAAAGATAATAAATTTTAACTTTGCAGTAGCATTGAGGTAGCGTATTATTGTTCCAGATATAGTTTTTTTTTTAAATTAATTTTCACATATATGGTAACCAAAGATATATCGTTTTATGCTGAAATCAAGCAAAGAAAATACATCTTGACCTATT